GAAAAAATCAGAGGAAATAGAACTCCGATTTCTTTATTTGAAGAACTGATCCTCGGATGAATCTGCATTTTCAGTTCGGTAGAAATTTTCACAGACAAATAGATGGTGTTACTATGTGATCACGAAAACGACTCGTTCGTTTGGTAAGTGATGTTCCAAAGTACCTTAGTCTCGCACGCGAACGCCTAACCTCTAGACCACTCAGCCAGCATCCAGCGGTGTGAATGTCTAACTTCAATCGACCCATGATCTTGTGCAACTATTCATCTACCGTCTGAGATAGATACCTGTCTCTACCCGACACAGATCGGAATTCACTGGTCACGGCTTCCAATTAGAACTCCAAGAAATCAGCTTGAAGTCACACACTAGTAAGCACATGATGACAGTGATCAGAATTAGAGTCTTGTGGAGACTGTAATAATCTTAATAGTAGAGTTTCAGATACACTAATTGTAAGAACGTTGCACTTGTATTACCAATACTTGAATTCACATATCAATCAGACCCTCCTTATTCACTGCTTATGATGTCTAATTATGTGATGATTTCCACCTCTTCGTGAGCTCCACCAACCAAAATGTAATACTTGCCAAAAATAATAATAGGAAAAATAACGGGCTCACCTTTTAAGTTGAAATGTATATTTAACGTGGAGATTATATGCACAAATCACATTTGAAATAAAATATTTTCTTGATATGATGATGTTTTTGCTTCTCCTACATGGGACCTGTCTTTTTGGTGCTGAGTGAATTCACTCATTCTCCTCAGTCATGTGAAAAGTAGATGTGGGAAGTGACAGGTGGACTAGGTATTGAAATTAACTACATAAACGGCTAGTCCCAGATCGCCTATCGACAGAAGTAAACCTCTCACCCTATATCATTTTGGATACTTTTTTCTACCCGTAGTCTCTGTATGGGAAGAAGTACAATGACAAGTCGATCTACGTTCCGTCAGGCAATCACTACGACAACAAAGACGAACAGTCAACATGTATATAGACCCAAAGAACGTATGCTATTAAAAAGGGAGGTGTTGGGGATAACAAATCCTTAGAACTGACTCGGTAAACGTCTTAATTTTGTAACTTCATTTCGGAAATTTTAATTTCATATTTTCGCGCCAAAAGAATCTTCGACTTAGCTAGTGGTCTTGGCAGGCAAAGCGTGTGGAACTAGCTATCTTTCCAGATTTCTCGGCTAATCTGAGAAACCGTGATAAAATTGAGTAACATGCATCAGACAAAATATTTGTCTGTATTTACCATAAACCCATACGGTGAATTCTTGCAACAACGACTAACTTTGAAGGCAAATCAGACTACTTCCAATAGTTTACTAGGTGATCTATCATTTCTGTGCATCGTTTTAATTCATTTAGACTAATCATATATAATATCATGGAAGCATCACTCCAAAGCTCTTTTTTAATGAGATACATTCGGTTGTTTAACAAGACAAGATACCACTGTACAAATGTATGTTGTTTTTAGATGAAGAATTTTAGATTAAACAACAACTCAACACCTAATATTGGTTCTCATTTCCACTGTCATAAATACCATGCGCTACGATTACAAGCATTTCTGGAACATGATTTGTAATTTAATGAGGCAACTTAAACCAACTTACTGTTACGGAAAGAAAACGCTGAAAATTCCTTCACAGCATTTCATCGGACACTGTTGTCATTCATTTGTTCCTTTTCCCAGTCTTGTATCTTAACCTTCATTTACGTCTCGTTTTAACCACACATAATGTTCTTCAGTCTTTCGTGTCGAGGTTTTGCTTATCTGGTCTCGGTCAAAGATTTACCTTTCATTACTTAATTTACTGTTGCATCTTCCCGAAATATTGACAATAAAGTCATGTCTGGTTAAAATCAAGGTCATTGTATTGCTGTTAATTTTTTATTGTCTGCTTGGAAAGTTTGCTGGAATCCCTGAAGATGAATATCGGATCCCATCGTGTTAAGAATGTTCTTATTGATTCTCGGTGATCGAATTATTATTTATTAGCTATTCCTTTTTTGTTTAGCGCTTAAATTTGCGTTAGAGAAACCTTTGACTATAAATCACAGGTTATACCTTTCGGGGTATTGCGATATGATTTGTTCTCGCTCGTAAATTATAATCGTCTAAACCGGACGCAGCGTTTGTGTTTTGAATTTAGTTGATACGAGTCACTCAAAAATGTTTCGGACGCCGTACAGGAGAACGTAGTTTGACTTGCTCGAGTAAACTTTGGTTCGTTAGTTCGGAATGAAAACCGAATATTGCTATTTCGGTCGTCACACCACCTTTTTCAAAACATTCATTTTACTTGCTAACATTTTTGAATTGATAAACGTAGATGTATTCTGAAACATTAAAAGCATTCAGGATCTAAGGCAAAACTACCGCGGTGTGCAACCAATATATTTACTTCACAGCTAAATTTTTTATGTTATGTTTGATAACATTAGTGTTCATTAAAGTTGCGATTTATACTTACAATATTCCCACTATAAATTACAAAAATCTAAAGACAGTTATTTCGCTCATATGAACTCATATTTCGTTAACCACAAGAATAGTCAATAGTGCATATGAACTCCAGAAGGCACCTAAGTTTGAGAACCTACCAAGTATCTTTGTACCTTTTTCTCATATATGAGCAACCTGGAATCAGCGAACATCGTATATGAGTGCAGGTTTTGTGAACAATAACACTGCACACACACGCACTCGTATCATTGTCATTCTGAACGCTAGATTAGTACTTGGCAGATAAACCTCATCCAGTCGTAGTAGGCCTAACTCTAATATTTCCCTACACTAATCGATTATTGGCAATATTTGTGACTAATAGAATATGTACACTTGTAAGGTGAAAAACAACCCGGTTCTCAAGTGACTTTAGGAAATATGGCTTCATTATGGTAGACATGTCAACATAAAGCCAACCGAATGGTTAGTCTATAAACGTTCTGTCATACCACGAACCTTAAGAAGCCTATTCGAACCTGGGATTCAGCTCTGAGTTTTTTTAACTTTTCTGAAGACGTCCTATTTTAATGCGTACTCGTGCCCAAGATGTACTGCGAGACCAAACATTAATGTTTAACTGAACATTCAGTTTTTGTATCTGATTATTTTATGCAAACACTGTTAATTTATTCGGGTTCGACTGAATTTATCTGCTTCTTTTTCCGAAATAGATTCTTTGTTTTTGACCTTAGAACGACTCATCAGACCGATGAGTAAACACCTGGTAGCCAGACAGAGCATGGGAAAGTAGTGCCCCACCAGCGTGGTGTTTGGTTTCCTGTCCATGACACCCTTTGAGTTATTCATGTCTCGATTTTTTACCTTCCATTCTCTTACTAGCTCTGAGTTCATATAGACAGCATCGAAAATAAATCGTGTACGATAATCTGTGGAAAGATGTTAAATGATGCTAAGAAAAGTTAACAAAGTATGTGACATTTATAGACTATCTCTGGGTATTGATTGAGCAGTGGTGTTCATTGATCATACAAAAATGGTCAAACACTGAACGAGTTGGTAATTCTCCATCAGGCTATGGGACCCGAAGTGACATGTCATTCAACAGACATTTCTCTCTTCTTTAGATGACAACGAAGTTCGTGACTTAGTTTCGAGTCCCCCGATGTCATAACTACACATTATTTTAAGACGTGAGATAATAAATTTTATTTTTGTCGGTCAGTCAAAGAATGCAGATGCTTTTCGAGAGGGAAACATTAGGTGATATGTCTCCGTCACAACTTGTAACTACCGGTGCCAATCATTCTTATCGATCTAGTTGCATTATTTACATGCGTTTTAACATGAGAGACATTTAAAGATCGTTGTAAGCCAAACGTTTACGACTATTCCCTGTCGTAAAAATCTAATGACTCATCCAGTGAACACTCTGTTGACGAGTCATACTAACCGGACTACAGTTCTCAGTTCAAACACGCGTTACTCGTGTTTCGCCTGAATTTTCAAGCTGCTTAACAAGAGATATAGACAACAAGTCTCTAACTACGAATTTGCTTCCATACAATAACGGTGAAACCAAACCAAGCGGTAGAATGAAGTGGCACTAAATAAATCATAGGTTTGCTGCTGTGTAGAATAAAAGATCGTGCGGTGGCAGTTATGCATATAACTCTGTACTTGAGCACAAATACATCATGTTCAGTTTTTGAAGAATATTTTTCAAAGACGGCTCCTACTCCTTGGCAACTCTATAACTTTCTCACAGATTCACGTGGGTTAGTCTGACAGCCTAGAATGATTTTATTATGGTATAAAGAGACTTTTTATTTTGTAGTGTGGCGTCGAGTCGCGTTTGACTATGAGCACCATTACAAGAGGGTTGCGCACCAGAAATCTGATGGCAGTTGCAGGTTGTAACGAGATATATTCGTTGGCGATCTCTTAGTGTCGAAAGAATATGAAGATCGTGCCAAAGAAATACGAGTGTAATCAGTGGGCAAACGTAAGAGCGTACAAAGTCACAATCAATGGAAGAGAGTAATGGAAGAATAATGGATGTCTTTAGTACAGTTAAACAATCACGAGTACAATTGGTTATAATAATCGTTTCCATTAAACCAATCGCGTTCTCTTAATAAAAGTAGGTCACTACAACTTTCCCAAATATAACCGAAGGCATATACCTTCGAGATTAACTGAAGTGTGATCAATTCTTGTAGGATGGGCAGAAGTGAGATGCCAAGACATCTGTTAAGGAACCTTATTCAAATATTTCTGGACCGAAATCCATACTTTCCATAGTTCATGTTTTTGAGATAGCCAAAATATAGCGTTCAAACCATTCCACTGAGATTTAGCTCATTTTAGCAGATTTCTGAAGCACAGTGGCAGAAATCAGACCTGGACATGACTAAAAACGTCCTATGAAAAAGTAGCTACAGTACCAACAGAATGAATAATTCACTGTTTCTCCAACAATGTTTGATGTTTGAATTCTGTTCTGCTGTTTATTTCGAAGGCGGCAGTACGAATGACTCTCCAAAGTGGTATTCACGGTAATAATACTTTGTTAGTTGGTTTATTTATTTTTAGCTGACCCATATGAAACATCTAAACTAGCAGATTGTAAAAGCCTTTCGTATAGAGCCGTGAAGCTCATCATAGATAAAGAAAAGATAGTTTTACTTATGAAAATACCATCTAAAGGTTCTTGGGAAGATGATTTTGATGTTGCGATGGGGAAGCTTTTAGATGCCAGCTCTCCGTGTTATGTGTTTTATCGTCTCGATTCCGTCAACTCTTTTGGAAGCGACTGGATTTTTATATGTTATGTTCCTGAAAGTTCTGACGTAGGTTTTGGTTGAATTAATGTAATAATATCACTTCAACTATTCGTTAGGTGCGTCTAAAAACGATATATGCAGCCACTAAAGCAACTGTTCTTAAGCAGTTTGGAGATAACTTAATTAAGGATGATATAACAATAAATTGTGTGGTAGGTTCAGTAATTCTTGCTTACATTTTAAGGGTGAAATGAACTTAAGGGCCTATAAAAAAATTATGGAAAGTAAAACTGCACCTGGACCTTATACTGAGGCTGAAATTGAGGTGGCTGGCATACACACAGGAGAAGTATGTTGAGATTTCATTCATATACCTAAAGGTGACCACTGGACTGCATTCCAGCTATCAAACAATCGGTGGTGTTTCATTCGCGCTTAGTCCTGATTCTCGCTCTGTGTTAAAGAATTTTGGTTCGGGAGAGTGTGATTACGTTCAGTTAGTAAGTTTGGTCAATGTGTAAAACGTGTTAAGACAGTTAAGATTGATCTTCTACATTCTAGTTGGGATTTTAAACACTGAAACGAAATTATTACATACTTAACCTATGGCATGCATTACTTGTACTCTGTGATGAAAAACGTTATTTTAAGAGTGGTACTTAAGAAAACAGGAACAATCAAAGTCACACAAGTCGTTTCGTGTATGCCCATGTTACCTACGTGCATGTAATGAGTCATATCACATCACACGGACATTTCTATTTGAACTGAGGTATTCCGTATTAGGATTTGCATTAAAAACCCATTCGTTGGTTCTCAACAGATAGAATGGACTCGGTGTTCAACATCTATCAATTTGTGTATGACAAATAAAACTACAAAACCCTCTATTTTCTCTGTTAAATTGTTTATTAAATTCATTTTGTTTAGTTGCTGATTTTAAACCATGCTAATAACTATGGTGGTATGTCATTTTAATAGAAGTGTACTTCGGTATAATTGATGATCTGGCGTTTTCTTTGTATTATCTCTCAATTCACGACGTGTAGGTAGTACATTCTGGTGACTTCTATTGTAATTAGCGGATAAGAAATACTTCAAATGAATATTCAAGCAATTATACTTCCATAAAAAGTAGAATAGTTTGTATTTGGTTTGTTACTAAGCTGATAGAGGTTTCATTTTAACTTGGAATCATTGTAAAGTTCTATTCTCTATGTTTGGTGATATTTAGTTGTCTAATTTCTCATTCATTTAAGAAGCAGAAATGATATGCTTTATCCTGGCCAATAAAAAGGTATGGCAAGCAAATTTTAGGAGTATGATAAAGTTTTGATAACATAAGTTCCTATACATGTAAAAGACCAACAAATGTTTGTCTATACTGTGTTGCATTTTAGTAAAAATTCATACCATTCTACCTGTAACTTGAAGCGACAATGATGTATATTGCAGGGCTCACTTATCAGCTACATCAGTCAAGCCATTAACCCTCAATATTATCTGTCATGATTAACATAAAGCATGGGATAAGTAAGCATCAATTTGAATCACCTAGGTAACTTGGGATATGAGTGGTATCAATGACGTTTAAGGAAGGTTAAACAAAGAATTTAGTTTGGCAAGAAAAGATATAATTCATTTTTGTTATTGATGCTACCTATACCTTTAGGTCTACTTTGAAATTCGAGTACAATCATCATGGGGAAAATGAATCGTTGATACATAATACTTACACCTTAACCCGTTGTGGTGTAGTGGATTATCTCCAAGATAATTCTCAATGTTTTGTACATTGAATGCCCTGATAATCGTTTTTAAATTAATCCCGATGGTTTATATATTTCAGAAGGCATCACGAAGTGCCGACTACAGTTTGTTATCGAATAGTACAGATCAATAAACCACAGGCACGCCAAACAAAATCGGGCAGAAACGCTAATATGAGCAAGCAAATACATGGGCAGATTAATTGTCGAATACAGAATCAAATGAAAAGCCGAATAAATTAATAATATTCAAGTATATATATATATATATATATATATATATATATATATATATATATATATATATATATATATATATATATGGCGAAGTGAATGACTTATCGAACGATTTAGGCAACTAACACTTGAGCTGGAGATAGGGATATGTGCATAGGCTGTCACATGTGATTAAGCATACATGTTCATGCAGACATGGTAATAATAAAACCGAGATATAAAAATTGTTGCTATTCGAATAATTCTGTTAAATTAGTTGAAAGTGTTGATAAAATTGAACGTAAACGAACTTAAGTGTTGGAGAGCTGTTATAATGGTAGTAGCTTTGAATCTCTGTAAAAAGTAGTCCGACGACTTGGTATTTTGTTGCGTAACCTATTGTTTGTAATTTTTGCCAGAAATGTGATATCCTTAGTGAAACTATCAAAGTTTGCGGGACTCGTGAACATATTACGCCAAAACAAATAGCAGAAATTTGTCCAGAAAAAGAAGGTCGTTATCATCTTTTTCGTTTCCGTTATATGCTTGAAGGCGAGGAACATTCTGCTACCTGTAAGTTTAACATGCATTTCAGTAAGTACTTTTTTGGAACTCCTGTAGAAAATTTTCATTAACTTTGCTTTTGTTGAGGTATTCCAAAATACTCTATCCGCTCTTATCTAATGAAGCATCCATGGTACTGGTCTCCTGAATATCCATTACCGTTTCTCATATTTTCAAGTTTTCTGACCCAAACCTGTTCTTAAATCAGTATTCTTTTTCTAGAAGTCGAAATGTCACAAAGTGACACCTTCATTGTATTATCGATCGAACGTACTTGTTTTGACCTTTCTTGAGTTACGTGTTTGATAGGGCTGATAAATAAATAGCGAAAATAGTATTAGCTGAAGTATCTGAACTTTAAGATTTGGAGATTCTGTCTGAAATAGTCAGACATGAATCTACAGATTTAAATGATGTCATGTTACTATTTATATCAGTATATGAGGCAAGTAAGCACATCTGGACAAAATATCTTAGTGAACAGTCATTTCAGTTTGTTTGAATGTATCGAAAAATTCCAATTTGACTTCATCATACGCAACTTTTCACTCGCCGTTAACATAGATTTTAATTAGCAGTTGTCACTGCGTAAGAATAACTTGAACTAAGCTCACAGGAGGTCCGACTGCGATTGTCATTTATTTATTTGAACACATAAATATTGGTACAATAGGGCACCAAATATATATGCGCCACACAAAACAATGAGAACGGGAAGAGAAAAAAATAAGGCAAGGAGCGTAAAATGAAAAAAGAAGAACAATAACGAAGAGATTAGTGTAAGGTAGTGTAATAATAATAATGGGGGAAACGGAAAGGTACAACCAGAAGAAATCTTTCAGTTAGGGAAGAAACAACCACTTTTTATGAAGAAAGTAAAAATAGGTTACAGCAGGATCTCCACTGGCTCCTATTCTGAGCCATATCTGATAACGTCTCTAGCCACTGTGGCGCACCATCTCTCGGACCCCAACCAGGGAGTCGTGTCATATATTGACCACCTCTCCGCTTTTTCCAGCCAGTCACAGAGTCGGCAAATAATGCACGATGTGGAATTCTCTGGGACGACATTCAGAGAACATGTCCAAGCCACCAAAGTCAGTGTCTCAAGATGGTGACACCAATTGAGTTATCGTCTCTGTGCCCGAACACACGATCCCGAACCTCTGCATTACTGACATGGTGTTGCCACTGGATGTCAGCAATCCTTCGGAGACAGCGATGATCGAACACAGAGAGTCGTCTAGCATCCTCAACTCGGGGAGGCCATGTTTCATAAGCATAAAGCAAAACTGCTCTCACCGACGCGTTGTAGATCCGATCTTTATCAGCCAGACTGACATCACGAAGGCGCCAAAGATGGCCCAGATTGGCATAAGCCGCTCTGGCTTTCACTATACGTGTATTGATCTCATCACTCATGCCACCACCAGCACTTGTGCAGTTACCTAGATACACGAACTTCTCGACTACGTCTATCTGCTCACCATCGAGGGTAAGTACAGGATTAGGATCCTGCCAGTCTTGTAGGTGTACTTTGCACTCTCGGCCATACCAGAGCGTTTGGGGGCGACTGTGATTGTCAACAACCTATTTTTAATTGATAAGTGGCAATAATTGCGTCCTAATCAGTTTCAGCGTGATAATTTGGTCAGTACTGTCGAGATCCAGGTAGAATTAGTGTACGATGCTATTATTTGGATGTATTGACCTATCTGTTGTAAAGTTTTGCAGTTGTTGATAATGAATTTTATTCTCAGGAAACTTTTTGTTCGTCTTTCTGTTTCAGTTTTTATTCATACAATTTCTGGCAATCAAAGCCCAATAAAAAGCCGAATGTTGTATTCTAGTTGCAAGGCAGCTTTACTAACTCGGTTGGAGCGTGAATTTGGAATAACCTTTGATCATAGAGTAAGATATAATTTCAATTATTTACTACACATACTGTTTATTACATATTTTGAACCTTTATGTTTCCTTGAAATTTTGTATTAACTTCTCTATCTCTGAGTAAACCAAAAACCCTTCTATTCGTTTAGAAAAGAAGCATGTTATTCGAGCTATACAGCAACGTAATAGATTTTTCCACAATTTGACTTTATTTATAACACTAGTCATACACGAGTTCCTTTATCTATCTATTGTAATCAATATAATGGCACTGTCTAACTGGTAAAACTTATAAATTAACCCTGTTGCCACTGTTATGCTTGTGTCTCCTTCTTTGTGTCCGCGGTCCAACTGCTTAAACATGGTGATCAAGAACCACTGTGATTCTCATAATGCAGACTAAGAATACCGAAGACTGGTGAAAATGAAGATTTGTTAACTCTCCAAAACACTTCGTTCCGACAGATACGCTCACTTATAAACTAATTTTGTACATCCATGATGATGTTTGTAACCATATAAATAAAAAGAGACAGGGTTACTGTAAAGCAAATACGAAGTTCATAAAGAACAATACAAGCATATAGTTGTCACACTGAACGAAAGTCCGCAATTGTTACATTGGATGGAATTGACACTTGATCGATACATAACATGTTGACCTGAAATAATGTCACACTGTCTAATATAAGATTAACATTGCGGTAGCTAAAATATCTCATCGGGAATAAAGCCAACGTCGTAAAATGTCACGTCTAGTTAAAGCAAATATGAACACGCCTTTTCTTGACTTACCAGAAAGTCAAATGCTGCTAGGAAGGCTTCAAATTACCTCGATCTTAATGAGTTGTAGTTCTAACAAACATGGATGTTCTTTGTAAATTTTTAATCCCTTCCACCCCACTGACCTCTTATCTGGTCAATCGCTTTCGCCTTCCGTCTGCCACAATTTTGATTTCTTGGATGGAATGTCAAGCTTTTTCTGAATTCCCACGTTCTCTCTTCGGTCTCTTTGGGGTTAGGTTATCAATATAGAAGCGTTGTGGGGGATAGTGATATGGCTTTCTAGAAGTCATAGATCTCGTCTGTTATTAAAAGAGATCTTTCAGTCGCTCAATTTAGAGTAATTGTAAGCTATTCTTAAATATAAAAATGACAAAATGTCATTATTTTCATAAGTAAACTGTAACCTCACTAGACAAAAGATGTATTGTGAGTTAGTTATCAGAAAGATTGCTTTTTGTGTGGTTAACATCGCTTATTTTAAGATTAGAAACAAAAACCATATTTTTCAATGTACTTTATACTTCATGCCGTGTGGAATTACATACGTATGGAACAGCGCCCCAGTAACATAGTGGGTTAACAAATTTTGCATTTCGTGAGAGTGTATGTTTCTAGATATATATACAGTTAGTGTACGTTACGTTTCGAGTTTTTCGCTCCAAAAATCCTGTTGCTCTATACACTCAGTCTTTTAACCTTATTTTTTTAGATGCTGTGAAATGTTTTTTGAGTAAAATTTTAAACTAAATTAGGGAGTTAAAAGTAAATAATGTTTGTTCATGGTTTATATCACAATGAATATTTATACGAATATTCGTCAATATTAGAACGAATAGTTTGACAAAAATTGGGCGCAGCGTATAGAGAAGTCATTATAGGTGAAAATTATATTTGAAATAATCTCAGCGATTGCAATTTAAATAATTCCAACGTTTCGTCTAGCAAACTTGTAAATTTATTGACTGATTTCGACATGACTTCTTAACGTATTTCGCAAAACTAGGGTAGAGATGAATTTAATTGTTGACTACATAAATGTCGTTCAACAAGTTATTTATTTATTTATTTGAACACATAAATACTGGTACAAGGGGGGCACCAGATACATATGCGCCACACAAATCTCATTTGATTTGTGTGAGGGCTGTGATACTGCCCGGGTGCCCAGACCGAAGCAGGTGGTTTTCTTAGTGGGCCACACCTGGAGCCTTTGACCTAAAGGTCTGACCCACAAGTCAGTGGAGCTTCGTGAGGAGATGCAGTCCCATGGTAGCTGGTGACCAACGACTGGTTCATACGCCATTTGTTCCCTCAGGATACTGGAGCCCATGTGCACCATTGGTTTAGAATCAGGGTTTTTCAACTCCCCTAGGTGGACTTTTCATGTCCACCAACCCGGTTAAAGCGCCGGACATTTGCTTTTCGTCCTCTCATTTTCGTAGACAATACCCCTTCCACGAGAAGGCAGTGAGTAGGACTTCTCTGGCAGAGGCTTATTTGTGAGTGTCATTACTAAGTTTTGACTTGATTATAGAATTCATATTATTGTAAAATTCCATTGAATATAAAATTAAATATCTTACGTTTCATGACTTAGTGTAAGGGATTTTTCAGCGAATGAAAATAAATAAAAAACTAAATGAACACAAGTTTAAGCTTGTTTGTTTTATGCACAATTATATATCCTAAAGGGGTAAGGGTCCTTCACTTCAGTTAGTTTGTGATCTACAGAAAGTTAGTTAAGATGATCACATCGATAAATCTTCAACTTAGTTGGTGTTTACTCAACAGTTTGTTGAATCAGATCTTAGCTTTTTTATTTACATTGGTCAGACCTATCATATTATTTTGCCACAAGAATTTAATCTATGAATTCATCAGGTTTTAATTTCAACATCGACCTATGATACATGCTTGTATAAGCCTAACAATCTTTTATTCCCGAGTGGATATTATGTCATTCATCAAATTATCTAATTTTATGAGTATTCGCTTTGGCCTGTTACCGTTCCGGAACATAGTTCTCCAACCAGCTCTGTCTTGGACTCTCTTCTCTAGTTGTTGACAAGTGGTATTCATGGTCTTGATGTCTACCTACGATTCCCAGGACAATATTTTCTTTTATTTACTCCTCTTACTTTTGCCTTATGGATTCCTGTTATGCCCTACCACAGACCAATACGCATAGACGACTTTAAGCAACCAATACGCAGCAAGGATGAGGGAAACTGATATTCTATTCTTGACGGTTGGCCCAATACTAACTTTCCCCGAACGAAGAGGAAAAACAAAAAAACTAATGATTACCAGTCCAAGATCGTTATTATATTTCAGACACTCATGTGTATGTACAAGACCAGATCATGCAGCATACTAATTGAGTAACAGTATTACCACGGAAAACAACATTAAGAAAGGGTAAAACGGAGTACTAGGTGTACAAATAATTGGTTTCAGTTTATGATTGAAAAATGCTATAGCAACAATTTACGGTTCAAATAAAAGCTCAGAACTAGGATAATATGAAAATAATAAAACCAAGATGCTCATTAAATATCCAATCAACATACAAATAAAATCGTAGAAAACTAGCATAGAAGGTTTTTACCTCATAGTTAAATCGTCTCTTACAACATTTCAACGTTAGGGCTTGCCTCTTGATGCAGTCAGTGATTTCCGCAAAGTATGTCCTATCCATCCAGCGTATTTACATAGTCTCCTCAACTGGCAGCTGGTTTGTTCGCTACCAGGGTACGTTATTACCGATTGTCACCGGCCAATAAATGTAGACTATTTTGCTCAGATAGCTGTTTATAAATACTTGTACCCTTTTTATGATGATTACTTGTTTCAGCTTCGTACTATAGAACTATTCTAACCTTTATATTGAAATTCCTGACTCTGATTTTGGGTGACAGTTCCGTATAATGTTGGCGATCTACAGAGTTTTCCTACCCGATCTGTCGAACACTTCCTCATAATCAAAGGAGTTAATGTAAACTGATAACTCCTATCTACTGATGACTTTTGCGGAACAGAACCTTCTATCATGTCGAGGCTATTGCTTCTTTAATTCTTTTCCAGTTCTTCATATTGGTTTCCTCTTTGAGTAAAGCTTGTAAGCCTTGGAACTTGTCGTTTAGCTCTGTCTTGGGTTCGCTGATTTCGTTAACATCTCAAAGGAAGGTTGTATTAAACCTCTGTAGTGCTGTTTTTTCAATGGTCCAATTCTTCTTTCGATTCAGGTTTAACCTCGCCACTAATAGGTAGTGATCTGAGTCTATATCAGCTACCTTCTTTATTCTTGCATCTTGAATCTTTTATTTATACAGATGTGATCGATCTGGTTCTCTGTAGTGTAATCTGGTGTAACCCATGTAACTTTGTGCTCGACCGTAGCTGCTCCCTTGACGTGGTGGTCGGGTTTGCCTATCGTGGTGACCCAACCGAGCTGTATTGGCTTGAACATATGTTCCTGTAGGTTCTACCATGCCAAGCAGGTCAATTGGAGAACGGTAAGACTAAAAGCAGCAACTCAAGGTCTGAGGGCAAAGTCGTACTGCTGACTGTAGAGGGATGTGACAGCAGTAAGGTGTTTCCCTCGGACAAACAACATCTGCAGCGATGCTTCCTACTCACAAAAAAGGAAGGGGTTAGAAAAGGTCGACCCTTAGAATGTCACGCCTCACATTACCTCGCAGATTTCGGTTTCTGGCTGTAAGGCCCTTTGGAGAACGGAGCTAACACGTCAAAAACCTCCCACAAAAAGGCCGTGCGCGACCGGCCTCAAGCAGTTGTCCCTTGGACTCTGCGGTCACGCTTCCGGGTCGTTAAGGCCAACATTAATCCGACTTCTATTTCAGGTTCCTCAAGAAATACCCTCCCACGGTGTGGGCACCCGGGAAGTGATATCAGCCATCATACCCGTAACAGCATACGAGACCTAGTTGGTCACATTCAAATCCTTCCTACACCTCCTAATACCTCTCTTATCTCCACGACTAACCGTTCTCACGTTACTTTATCACCTCGCACCGCTAGGGCAAACGATTCAATTACGCGGAACGTTATTCCTGGTCTCCTGAAATCACCCTCTAAACTACATATAGGAGCATTCAACGTCCGAACCCTGTGTCAAATAGGACAACAGGCTTCCTTAGTTAGGATAGCGAATGCAAGAGAGATGGAAAAGGCAGCGGCGATAGGTAACAGCAGACAACTGTTCAGGCTTGTTA